GCATTAATGGGTTTGCATCTTAAACCATGTAGATTTAGCTCACTTCTTTTTGCTGACGTTACATAATACTAATAAGTCAAATTAGGTCATGATTGTTTTAAAAGTAAAAGCAAACTTTTTATTTTCTTATGCATGTTATGATGTTCTAACTACTAGGAGTATTCGTTAACATAAAGAGAGAACAGAAGTCAAGTAGACAAAACAATAATAGTCCGTCCTATATCATAATTAACGATATGAAAAAGGAATTAGAAGAGTCTTGAAGAGATTAACAAACCCGAGACAGTAGCCGAAGCAAGAGATGAAGTGACTAGAAGAAGAGAGGCTACAACCAATATGGAGACAATTATCTTCATGATTGTTTTCTTTAGTTCCCGATGATTCTTAGTTCCGATCCAAGGATCAAGTTTCTATTGTTCTTGTGGTCTCTTTATTGGGCTTTTATAAGCCAGGCCACCAACTTCTATTCCATTTAAAAGATACAAATAATTACCATATTTGCCTAAATAAATAGAACAATAGTATTATTCATTCCGTTGTGTTTATCAAATAAAACTAAGTTGATCTATTATTGTTATTTTTCTATACTTTTTTTAATAAAGTAGTATGTCGGAGATTAAACTTGAGATCCGAACGCTTTCTAGTTATAAAAAAAGCCTTATAATAATGAAGTGGATGTGGTTTCTCCCATTTAGTCATGGTTTTTTAAACAAACTATACATGTTAGTTTGAGTTTTTTTTTATGTCATCTGAATTTTATTACAAACATTGAAATAATATAAGAGTGGAATACGTTTTTGGAATACGGTTTTAGAAAACTAAACCGACGGACTACAAAATCCGCGGAGTCTAAGTTCTGCGTGAGGGAGACATGGGATAAAACCAAAATACAAACAAAGTAAAACATAAAGGGGATGAAGTCCCAAGCATGAAATCAAAAGAACCACAACTAATGATCAAGCCTAATCTAAACAGACCCTGCCAACGAATCTAACTAAATAAAGCGGGAACAAACGCGACAGCATATCGATAGGGCAAGAAGACCCCAACACACGAAATGCGGCTCCTTCCATAGTGAATAAGTATACCTAACCACAGGAGACTATTCCGGCAAGCTGGAAGAAACACACAAGATCTTCAAACAAAACTCCTGGAAATAGCGATAACGGGCGATCCCCGACTTGATGACGCCTAGATAGAACCCTTTGAAAAGACCAAGATCCCGATCAGATCTCTATTGTAGAGACAAGAAGCGAACCCTCTCAAACCGAACAATACCAAAACTCGGACCCTGAGTGGTACCCAATCGGATCCGGCAAAGAGCGAAAGAACCCACATCATCTACACTAAACAAGCTGGCAAGCTGCAAAAACCAGACCCAAAAAGAAGGATCAATGATCCAAACCAGAGGACCACAAACCACTTAGATAACAAACTTCGAATCAAGAGACCGAACAACGGAGAAGACGAAGGCAAGATCAAGACACAGACTCGCCCCGAACACAACCGACCAATCGAAGGCTATCCCCGACTAAAGCAGATGGCGCGGAGGGGAGAACCTGGCCAGAGAGTCCAGACCGGAGAACCTAGTGATGAAACCATGAGACTGACCTAAACGACAGCCCTGCATATGACAACTAGCACCACCTCAACCATAAGCTCCAACCAAAACCCACACAACCTAACCTCCGATCAACACCGAGCCCAGAACTGAGATCCGAAACCAGATCTAAAACCAGATCTGAGACTAAAAACGAAGAGAACATAAACAAAAAGACTATAAAAGCAGTAAAGACGGGACAGCGCTGGAGGAGCCACCGCACCGGCCAAGCGGTGGAGGAGAAGCAACTCAAGTTCAGAAATAGGTTTCGTCAAATCGCCCGGAGAGAAAAAAGTCTCTAGATTAGTTTGAGTTTAATTTCGGGATTTTATATATGTAGATGCCGATTTTACATGCATCATTAAATTGTCATAATTAAAATAATAAATCTGCTTTTTC